GCAATTGTATCAGTTTATGTTAATGATTTAAATTTAATTAGAACTTTTGAAAAGCTCAACAAAATTGTAAATTATTTGAAAAATAAATTTGAGATGAAAGAAAAAAACCAAATTCTATCTCGGGTTACAGATTGAACAATTTTTAGAATGATTATTTGTTCATCAATCTACATATACAGAAAAAGTCTTAAAACTATTTTATATGAATAATGCACATCCATTGGCATCACCTATGGTTATTCGATCACTTGATGTGAAAAATGATCATTTTCATCTAATTGAAGATGGAGAAAAGGTTCTGGGTCCTGAACTACCATATCTTAGTACAATTTGAGCATTAACTTATCTTACAAATTGTACTCGATCAGACATAGCTTTTTTTCCTGTAAATCTCTTTGCAAGATATAGTTTTACACTAATACAAACATATTGAAATTGTGTTAAACATATTTTTCATTACTTAAAGGGTACTGTTGATTTTGGATTATTTTATTCTCAAAAATTGGGATCTGCTTTAGTGGGATATGCATATGCACATTATCTCTCTGACCCATATAAAACTATATACAAACAAGAAAGAATTTACGCGTGGAGGAACAGATATATCATGGAGATCTGTGAAGCAATCCTTGACAGCAACACCTTCAAATCATTATTAAAATTATTTCAATCCATGAAATAGGTCGAGAATGTGTATGGTTGAGGAATATGATCCATCATATCCAAGCATCATGCAGTTTAATTTCAACAAAATATTGTTCAACAATTTTGTATGAAGACAATGTTGCTTGTATTACATAACTCAAAAGAGGTTATATAAAAAATGAGACGACGAAGTATATTTCTCCAAAATTCTTTCATATACATGAGTTTCAAAAGAATGACGACATCAATATTCAACAAATTCACTCAAGTGACAATGTGACTAATTTATTTACAAAAACACTGACAACATCTACATTCAAGAAATTAGTTCAATTGGAATGTGTCAACTCAAATATTTTCAGCGATCAACATTGGGATGGGGGGTAGCTGTGCTCTATTTCCTTCGCTTTGGTTTTATCTTACTGGATTTTTCTAACAACATTTTAATGAAATAGCATTACTCCAAAAATAACGATACTAATTTTCCTCCGTTTTATTTTTTTGTCTCATTGGGTTTCTATCAAATAAGGTTTTAACGAGTCGATATTTTTTAATGTGTCATTCAGGGGAGTATTACAAATGGTAAGTTTATCAGTGAATGACAATTGCACTCCTAGAAATTATTACTATTGTGTCTCTAATTCTGCTCTATAAATATAGGGATTTGGTTCTTATTATAACACATATAAGTCTATTGACTTTTATTCTCTTTTTAATCTCTTTTCACAACAAATTCTTTTTTTTTTATTTTCCCTTTTCTTTTTTATCTATTGTGTACATTCAAATGGAAGCAAGGTATACAGATTAATCATTATCTCTCAACTACTGTTTTATTAAAATTCAATGAGATTAATTATTCAGGCCCCGTTCGGGATGGATTAAAATCCAATTAAAATTGAAAATATGACCGTTATTGGGTCCCACTCGTCTAATAAAAGTCAACAATAACGACTATATTTTCAATTTTAATCTGATTCTAATCCCTCCCAAACAAGCTAGTAAA